ATAAACATTTACAGTTTTTTATAAATTTTATAATATATATTGGATACTCATATATAAGCAGGGCCGTACCAAACGACGAAGACTTGGGGGTGGGGGGTGCAAAGGAAAAAAGCTAATTTTACAGACATGGTTTTTTTTTTTTTAGAAACCAAATTTCAGTTCTAACCGAAAGAGTCCCAAATCTTCCAATTTTCCGACAAAAATCGACAGAATTTTGTAAATCTGGAGGGGGAGGGGAGGGGTATCCAACCTCCAAACCCCCGTCGGTACGGCCCTGTATATAAGTAATATAGTTTTAAATAATATTCTTTTAACAATATGCCGTTATATAATCTAAATCACACATAAAATCACATTAAAAAGAACATAGTTTAGCAATGCTAACAAATTGTATATTACAATAAGTAAAAGTCCTAACACACCTAGGTACTTATTATATACAAACTTACAACAGTTATGAATTGAAAATTATCAAAACGGTAAGCCACATGATATCATAGAATATTCTAGAGTTTACAATGCATTGCGATAGAATTATTACAACTGGTTAAAATTTAAAATTCAAAATGAGGCAAGATCGTGAGTTTTATATTTATGGCCAATATGATAACCACATCAAATTTAGTACGTATTTATTTAAGGATTATGCCACATTAAGTGGAATTGTTATGTGAACCACATTATGTGTTCCACATGTGTGCGACACTTATCTTCATCAAATACGTCATTCATCAACTGTAATATATTTTTGCTCTTTTAATCCACACGGAAGCACCATTACCACATGTGGGCCACATATACCTTTCTTTTCGGGAAAGAAGATAAACTTGTATACTTAAGGGAGCAAATACATAGGACAATCCGCCCTCCAAACTAGTGCTTTTGACGTGGATCATTCTTTATACCGGAAATGAACGTTTATTCGTCATTTCATATGTAATAAAGTTTTGTATTTGTTGACATAAAATAATATATATATATAAATTAAAATGTTGTTTTTCCTACGTGAGCCATACCTTATACCTGAAATGAACGATTACTCAACATTTTATTTTTAATAAAATATTGTATTCGTGTTTCATCGCTTCAAAAAATTACAATTAAATTGTCTTTACGATGTTATATGTTAGTTTTATTATATTGATGATTTTTAAAAACAATTACAATGAAAAGATTAGATCTTATTCCAAATATGCGTGAATTAGTAGTGGATAAATTAAGATTATGGAAGGATTTATTTGATGAAATAAAAAATATTGAAGAAATTTGCAAAGAAAACTTAAAAAATTCACCAGACTTGCTCCTGCAAAATTCACCAGACTTGCTTGCTCTCAGTGAGACAAATTTAAATTCTGCAATTCCTTCTTCAGATGTCAGTGTTTTCATACAAATTAATTCTCCTATTTGTCGTGAAATCAGGTTTGAATCCTTTGACCATTCTTTTATGTGCTTCCGCATAGCACCTCTTCACTCTATCACCTTTCTCTTTGTTCTTTATTGCTCTCCTTCTTCCCAGGACTGCAATCTTTTAAATGTTAACTCTGATCAATTTGACCATGCCCTCTCTCTTTACCCCTCTACCAATATTGTTGTTGTTGGTGACTTTAATACCCATCACTCTGAATGGTTTGGCTCTACATCACTGATACTGCTGGCACTAAAGCCTATAACTTCTGTGTTTCTCAATCTCTTACTCAAATAGTTAACTTTATGACTCGTTTTCCTGACAACCCTGATAGCTCTGTTTTTTTTTTCCTAGTAACTCCCAACTTAATAGTGGTTGCTTGCAGCCTTGTTGGGAGTGAATGCAAATAATTTCAAACCACCACTAATGTGTGTATAGGTAATGGTTTAACACACTCTAATAGCTTAAGAAATAACCTGCAAACTTTTAACTTTTTAAAAAGTATCTATGATTTTTATATATATATATATAAATTTTTTTTTTTTTTTTTTTTTTCAACATCTTCAACATCTTCTAACAAGGCTGCAAGCAACCACTACTAGAATTGGAAGTTACTAGAAGAGATAAGATGAAGATTATAAAGCAAGGAAATCGAATAACAGACAACTTAAAAGATTGCAAATTATATGAATCAGGAAAACAAGATAAAGGGAGCGAATTCCAAAGAACAGGTGTTTGAGGAAAAAAACTAGATAAATAAGAACTTTTGGAGCACTTAGGATCAATCACAGTAAAAGGATGAGATTTAATTGAGTGACAAGTAACACAAGAATGAATTTTAGTAGATGGCACAAGAGATGCTTATTTATAAAAAAGAGAAAGAGAAGAGATATTAGGACTATGTGACAATGGTTGAAGGATGGCTGCAAGAGCCGGTCCAACTATGTTTGCAATGCATATTTGCACTATATCTAAAAGAGAAAGGGCATCATTTGAAGATCCACTCCTAATATGGCAACAGTATTCCATATATGGTCGGATTTAAGATTTATAGAGATGAAGAATAGAATCTAGAGTAAGAAAATGACGAGCACGATAAAGAGATGCAACCTTAGCAGCTGCTAATTTTGCAATCGATTTGATATATGATTTTCAAAAAAGATCGGAAATAAGAGTTAATCCTAGAAAATGAAGGGTAGATGTCTCATCAAGTACATTACCGTTTATAATTATAGGAAGATCTAGACTGTTGCGATAACAATTGGCTGAGAAAAATAGAGTTATCTGAATTGAAGTTAACTAGCCACTAGCAGAAGTGAGAACCTTTTCAAGCTCAAATGCCTGCTCCAAGTGACCAGAGAGTCACTTGGCTTCTTCTCAAGACAAGAATAAATGGTAGTATCACCAGCATGTCAAACTTTATCAAAAGTTTGGCATGCTGGTCTTCTCCATAGCCTTAACCTCTATTTAATGTACGATAAAACCTATCCGTTATTACCGTTAACAAATCAGCAGTAGAACGATATGATCAAAATCCATATTGGTAATCGAAAGTAGATTATTAAATTTAAGATAAGAGATTAAGTGTTAATTAATTAAAGACTTAAAAGCCATGCTTATTATAAGAAGATGACTAATGGGACGGTCACTAACTAGGTGAGTCAGATCGCTCTCTAGAATCTTTGAAAATAGGGATAACAGATGCTGCTTTCCAGCAGGCTGGAAAACAAAACTCTGATAAGCACTTGTTGAATAGTTTGGAAAGTATAGGCGATAGCTTGGGAGAACACTTCTGCAAGACTATAACAGGTATGATGTCTGGACCTCATGCTGTAAAAGAGTCTAAACAGGAAATTACTTTGGATAAAGAAGTAGAAGTAATACAATTGTCAAGCAATGGAAAAAACTTGTTTGTTGGCTATATTAAGTAGGATGTGATTAGTGGAATGAAGAGATAAGATTGATGAAAAGTTTTAAGCAAACAATTCAGCTTTGTCTTTAGTTGAAGTAACAAAATCTGAACTGTGTAAAATTAGATTTGCTCTTATTATTGACACTGTTAATTCAATTCAATTCAATTCAATATATATATATTCTGAAATAAGTTGTAAAATTTCAAGGACTTTTACAAACAGTACAAGTACTAATCTAAAGTAAAAACCTACAACATTACAATAAAAGTGATTGTAATAACAATAATAATAGTATTGATAATAATTATAGAAATAATATTAACAATAATAATAAGATGACAATGAAAAGGAATATTATTAGTAATAATACTAACAATAATAATAAAGATATTATACAATCAATATTAGATAATAGCAATAATAGTAGTAATAACAATTACATAGTATAAGTAGTAAATAAACTTAAGAAAATATTAAAAAAGCAATAATAATACTTATTATGTTATAAATAAAAGGTTAAAGGTTTTCCAGAAGTCTCAGCAGCCTAATTTTTGAGACAAAATACAAGATTTCATGACCTGAGAATTGTGGGTTTTGGCGTTAGACAAAACCTTAACAAATGGTTTTGAAAATCATGACATAACTTTTGTTCAAAACAGTTAAAATCTGTTTCTATGCATATCTGCTTTATTGACAATCATTTCAAAGTAGACTGACCAAAAATTATTTGAATCACTTTGATGTACTTATGTATTATATAATTTATTGCGTTGTTTGTGTTTTTTTTTTTTTAGGTTGCTAATTTTAATAAACTAGTAAAGCAAAAAATTGTTGATGTTCCTGACTCCACCATTCAATACTGTAGGTATGTTTGCAAGCATTATGGTGTTGATAAAAATAGTTTAGCATCTCAAAGGAAGTTTAAAAGAGCTAGCTCTACACTTAAAAAAAGTATGTATGGATAGCTTATTTTTGATGTTATTAAATAAAATAGTAATGCATTATTGTTGAATTTTTTGTGGAAAAAGGTTAGGAACATTGTGTCTTTTTGCTATTCAGTTCAGGATCACCCCTATGTATGTATTTATGTGTGTGTGTGTGTGTGTTTATGTATGTATATATATTTGTGTGTATATATGGGCAATATATGAATTTTTCATTGCAGACTGCAAATTTTCAATTGTCTTAAAGCTAAACAAAGATAGAATGTTCTCAGTAGAACACCTGCATCAGAGCCATTCTGGACATGATATTGTAACACCAAACACATATTCCTTATATTCAAGTGTTCGTAGACCATCCAACAATCCCATCCAATCCTCTGCTGTTATGCTATCAGCTGGAGCAAATCCAACTATTGTTCAAGGAATATTGCACCAAGAGGGGTTTAAAGTTAAAAGACAAGATGTGCAAAATATTCGAAAAAAATTCCAAACCAGGAGTATTTCTTTTATATTTAGTTAACTAAGAAGTTGTTATGTCAATTTTTAAAAAAAATGCAATGTCTAACAATATTCTTTTTTGTTATTGTTATTTTAGTAGTTTACTCAAAATATTAAATTCAAAACTTATAAAAAATCTCCAAACTATTTTTATTTACTATGTTTATTTACAATTATTAAAAACTATTATTATAATTGCAATTATTATAAACTATGTTTATTTACAATTCCTAGGTTGCAATGATTTACTGTATCTTGAAGAGGTATTAGAACGCCCTAATATGCATTTCAAAATTTTAGTTGATGATGATAGTGTCACCCTAAAGGGAGTTATGTGGTCATCATCGGAACAACTAGAACTATTGTCACAATATGGTGATGTTATTCTGATGAACTCAACTTTTAAAGTTAACACATTTTTACTTTACCATTAATCTTATTTAATCATAATTTACATATTTTCCTTATTTTTGTTTAGGTCAATTCTCAAGGATATCCTTTGTTTACACTATTGGTCGCTGATGCGTTTGGAATCGGTCAACCTGTAGCACATTGTCTTTTGCAAAGGGAAGATATTCCTAGTATTTCTAAATTTTTATGTTGGCTTAAAGAAGGTCTAAACAATGCAATATTTGTTATTGATAAAGATTCTGCTGAAATTGGAGCTCTTCGAAATACCTTTCCTGGTTGCTCAGTATTTCTTTATCGTTTTCACATGCTTAAATCATTTTTAGAAGAGCTAAACAAGCATAAATTTCCTGAAGAAAGGCGCAGCAAAATTTATGGCGTACTGTTGTTATTAATCATAGTCAATACTGTAATATAATTTTTGTTAATAATAATTATTTTTATTTTTTCAAAATGGTACCAAGATCAAACTTTATAACTGGTTAAGAATTTCTGTTGGTGTTATTAGATCATGCTCAAGCAATACTTAAATATTTTTAGATTTTTAGTGTGCTGGTTTTGAAGAATTTACTTTATCTTGTTGAAAATAACAGTTTTTGTTTTAATTTATTTTTAATTTATAAGTTTCAGTTCAATTTGTTTGTTTTATTTTACACTTTTATCAGATTTTTGAAAACATGGTAAAGTGTAGTTCGCAAGTCGAATACGATATACTAGTTAAGGAGTTTGAATATGCTGCACCAGAGCTTAATTATTATTTTAATTGCAATTGGAACACAGCCTCAATGATTCCAATGTTTGCTGGCTACAGTCGTATCGGTAAGCTTCATCTGGATAACCACACGACATATCGCCTTGAATGTTTTCATGCAAAAATTAAAAAAGTTATTAATTCCTCCAAAATCAAAATGTCTTTTCTAGTTGAAAAGCTTGTAAGTATTGCAACAGTAAGTTTTTTTTTTGAATATATCTTTTTTTTATAAAATATTTTAATAAAGGGAAGTCTGGCAAATATCTAGTGCAGTGCTACTCAATCATTTGTTCTGCTTCATTGTGTAGTCCAGGAGTAGTATATCAACAGGAAAATGCTCTTTAGCAAAGATAGGCTGATTATTAGATCGGGAATGATTAGGGCAAATTATTTATTAAGTTACAAAATAATAACCTGCAAGTATTTAGGATGGTGTAGTCCATTAAGTTGTTGGCACTATTTTCTGAAAAATAAAAACAAAATATAAATAAGACTCTTTTGATGAATTATAAATCAATTCTAGCACATTAAAAATTTATTTGAATCAATATGTTTATTTAACATAGATTCGTTCTGTGGAAACAAAACACAGCTATTTTAATGCCACTATGAAGACACCAATAAAAATATCTGAGGAGCTTTCAGATGCTATTGGAAAGGTATCTTCATATGCACTTCAAAAAATGGTGAAACAGATAAACTTCATGAAATCCAATGATGTGACTTATGTTAGTTTGAGTTCTTTTGAGTACTTCAACACTCAATTTTTTCTCCTATCTTTTTCTATTAACAAATGACTAATTTTTTATCTTGTTTTACTTATTTTTATTATTTTATTTTACTTATTGTACTTTATATAGGATTTTTGTAACAATGATTTTTTTTTCACTGTGAGGGGAAAATTAATAAGATCTTCATCTGATTCTTGTAATTGTGATGTCTTTACTGGAAATGGCCTTCCTTGTTGGCATATTTTTTATACCAGGCAAACCCTTTCATTGCGTATATTTGTTATAACATTAGTTAATAAAAGATGGATTATAAATGCAACTGTAGCACCATTAAAAGTTTCTTCAAAAGTAGCGCATGTTGTACCTTCGACGCTGTATGATACACATGAAAAAAGATTTATGGTTTGATTGTTTAATTTTATTACTTTTTTGAACATAGCCATCACTTAAAATAAAGTTATTTTACTTTTTAGTTTTTTGGTTATTTAACAAATCTAAAATGACAATCATGATTTAATTGTTTTATAATTTTAAATTTTTCCAGGCAGCCTACTCTAATGCAATAAAGATTGCCAACATTTTAAGTGACGAGTCAAAGGCAACATTTCCACATGCTCTACAATATCTGAATTCAATTTAACAACAGGTTATATGTGGAGAATGGCAGCAGCATAATCAAATGCTAGTTGAAGTTAAAACGGACGTCACTACATCTATTTTATCATCACCAGGAAATTCAAACCTTCACGGCTTCGAAACTCAATCTTATGTTGTTGAATCTGAAAATGTTGATAATGAAAATTTAGATAAATTAGGTGCTATTGATATTTTGAAAATAGTTTAGTAGAGAAAAATTTACTTGTAGAGACAAACAATTTAGCAGAAAAAAGTATAAATAGTCAAACTTCAGATGATAAAAACCTTAGTATTTCAATTCAACATCTTAAATTTCCTGCGACTGCAATAAAACAGGGTAGACCTCCTTTACCTCGTTCTCAGCGAGTTTATAGAAGTACTTTTCCAAAAGTATGGGAAAAAATGACAACCTTAGAAAAAGACTCTTTTAGACTGAAGAATATTGTTAGTGAATATGCAATAGGAGATATTTTGAACTGTGCTCGTAAAGGCGAACGCAAAGATGTTGCGTTCGCCTTTACGTTTATCACGTTACGTTCGTCTATCGTTTGTGATAGTCGATTTGGTTTAAATGAACTTAAGTCTTACTTTTTGGCTGATGCATGGCGCTTAATTCAATCAATACAGCGTTTCATAATTGCAGATAAAATGTCGTATTGATGCAATGATTGTAAATTGCATTACTCTCCAGCACAATTTCCACAGTCAGATTGGGTTCAGTGTGATCACTGTTTAAATTGGTATCACGTTTGCTGTAGTGGGATTACTGGAAAACCGTCTCGAAAGTGGTTTTGTCACTGTTGTCTAAATGGGGCTGATAGACCTACCAGTTTTAAGAAGCTTTTATAAACCAAGTACTAGAGCTGATATAGTTTTTTTATTGATCTTATGCCTAGTTTTTAGGACAATCAGTTATTATAATTTAGATAAGTAAATTGAAAACTAGTAATTATATTCAGAGTTATTTATTTTGTATAATAGCTATATAAATAGTAGTGCTTGAATTTTGTTAAGAAAACCAGTTAGTTTTCTCTATTTTACTCAACTTTTAATCGACTGTTTTCTTTAATATGTGTAAATATATTTACGAAATATATATATATATATATATATATATATATATATATATCTACGTATTTACATATATATACACACACACACTAATACACGCATATATATATATATATATATATATATATATATATGTATATATATATATATATATATATATATATATATATATATATATATATATATATATATATATATATATATGTATATATATATATATATATATATATATATATATATATATATATATATATATATATATATATATATATATATATATATATATGTTTCCAAATACCCACATTGATTTATTTATATTTTTTGGTTAGGTTAGCTTAGAAGTCTGTGTGGTATCGTTATTGTTGAAATGATATCATTTGGTAAACTTCACTCAGACCATTTAAATCATTAGGCAACAATCAGGTTAAATATATGGAACAAACAAGAACAAACGACGATTCAAATTGAATGTTGGTAAACTTTAATTAGTTTCAAATTTTTTTTAAATAAATTTATTTTTAATATTTAAAGTTAACTAACTTCAATGTTTTTTTTTAATCTGTTTTGTAATATCAAAGTAAAATTTTGCACACTTCTTTAAAATTACTCTTATAGTAAAATGAAAGCAAAATAAATGTTTTAATTTTTCACGTCGATAGAGTCACGTGACCAAATTGCATGGAAACTTTTCACTTTTTTTGCTCTAGTGTATTTCAATGCCGTAATAGTACTGTCAGTAGATAATTCTAAGTCTGTGATTGAATTGCAAGTAGCTCAATTTCGTACTATTTTATATACTGCCCTCAGATAATTTGAAGTCGCAGTTCACAATCATAAGTAGCTCACTTACAGGACAGTAATAGTATTGCCGGTTGATAACTTAATGTCTGTTATTGCATTTCAAGCAGTTCACAATCATATTGTTTATTGCTCTGCCGGCAGATAGTTAAAAGTCTGTTATTACACTGCAAACAGATCATTTTAGTATTACTTTTGCACTGCCGGTAGATAAGTCTTTCATTGCATTGTAAGTAATTTACTTAAAGGACTGTAATTGTAGTGCCTGTAGATAACTTAATGTCTGTGATAGCATTGTAAGTAGCTTACTTACAGGACTGTAATTGTACCGGCAGTACAGTTACAGTCATATAAGTGAGCTACTTAAAATGCGGTCACAGACATTAAGTTATCTACCGGCAGTACAGTTACAGTACTGTGAGGAAACTACTTTTAATGCAATCACAGACTTTGAATTATCTACCGGCAGCACAGTTACAGTCCTATAAGTGAGCTACTTAAAATGCAATCACAGACATTAAATTATCTATCGGTATTACAGTTACAGTCCTGTAAGTGAGCCACTTACAATGCAATCACAGACATTAAGTTATCTACCGGCAGTACAGTTACAGTCATATAAGTAAGCTACTTAAAATGCAATCACAGATATTAAGTTATCTACCAGCAATACAGTTACAGTACTGTTGGTGAACTACTTACAATGCAATCACAGACATTAAATAATCTACCGGCAGTACAATTACAGTCCTGTAAGTGAGCTACTACAATGCAATCGCAGACATTAAATTATCTACCGGCAGTACAGTTACAGTCATATAAGTGAGCTACATACAATGCAATCACAGACATTAAGTTATCTACCCGCAGTACAGTTACAGTACTGTAAGTGAACTACTTTCAATGCAATCACAGACTTTAAATTATATACCGGCAGTACAGTTACAGTACTGTAATTGTACTGCCGGTAGATAATTCAAAGTCTGTGATTGTAAATAGTTCACTTACAGTACTGTAACTGTACTGCCGGTAAATAATTCAAAGTCTGTGATTGTAAGTAGTTCACTTACAGTACTGTAACTGTACTGCCGGTATATAATTCAAAGTCTGTGACTGTAAGTAGTTCACTTACAGTACTGTAACTGTACTGCCGGTAGATAATTCAAAGTCTGTGATTGTAAATAGTTCACTTACAGTACTGTAACTGTACTGCCGGTAAATAATTCAAAGTCTGTGATTGTAAATAGTTCACTTACAGTACTGTAATTGTACTGCCGGTAGATAATTCAAAGTCTGTGACTGTATGTAGTTCACTTACAGTACTGTAACTGTACTGCCGGTAGTTAACTTAATGTCTGTGATTGTATTTTAAGTAGCTCACCATACATTATTTATTTTATTTATTATTGTAAAATATCAATGTTAAACTTTAAAAAAAAGTTAAACATTAAACAATTTATCAATATATATATATGCATATATATATATATATATATAAATATATGTATAACAA